AAGGTAAATGAAAGACATTGTAAATATGTTGTGTCAGCACGTAAGGACAAGAACATAACGAAGGAAGGAAATCAGGAGAAATACGGTAAGTGTTCTATATTGCTTATTCAGAAACTTTATTGTATACAAAATTATCGCTCCGAGAGCAGTTACCTACCTAAAAAAAAATGGACTTTGTCTCATTGCAGTGCCCTGCGATACGCCATGCTACATTGCTCTTCCTTAGGCAGAGTTCCTCCGACAGTCTCCGGGCATTTTTGGCTCACGGAAACTTAGCTTGCCAAGCACGAGCCAAAAATTGCCTAGAGAAACGGCTCCTGAATGTGAGCAAGGGAAACTTTAGTTTGCATACTACTGTGTTGGTTTTCTTTGCGGGTTTTTTGAGGAATTAAAGCATGAAAAGCCCTGGAAACATCTTCACAAAAGGCCTTTCCTGAACAGACCTTTCCTGAGATTATAGATGAGAAAAGGGGAAGGATCACACACACGCACCCCCACTCCTCCAGCCCTACCCCCAGCCCGGCTTCGCCTTCACAAGCGACAGTGGCTTCTACAATTAACAGCATCAGCCCATCCAAACCTGGACATTCTAACGGTGAGTTTTCAAAGCCTGTAATCTTGTAGGATTTTCACTTTTGAAAAGAAATTTAACACATTTTTTGATGATCATAAAGATTTGTTTTCTCTGAAGTGCACGTAGGACTAAACCAGTCATTTTCTATGAAAAGGTCACCAGAAATTCATATGTCTTCACACCTGCTTCTAAGAAATCTGAGCTGTAAATGTACCACTATCCTCCTTTTCCCCTTCTTTAAACTTCTGTGTGCAATTTCAGGAAAAGTACTTCCAATTGTAATGTGCAAGGTGTCTGTGTTTCTCATATTCTAGAGTGAACACCGGAAAAATGTCATTAAGAATAAAATACTTGTTTTAAAGAAAGCACTGAGTTTAAATTTCAAATGCATTATTTTTTCTTCCTGCTAGGCCTGCTTTTATAAATACTCTCAACCCTTTAAAAATGTTTGCTTAAATATATACAGTATATATAAAGGGAATAAATTACTTGCTATGTTATTTGTCCTTTAGCAGGACTGGGTAAGAGAGGGAGAGGGGGAGGAAGGAGAAGGAGGGATAATCTTGACAAGAATATATATTAGAGCAATCAATAAAAAGATAATCCCTGGAATTCATGAGTCTTTAAAATAAGATGCATTTTCTTGTAGTAATCCTAAAAACCTATAAAAGAATATTCAAGCAATAAACCCCCCATAACTCATAGTTAACCTTTCATCATGTAGAACTACATATTAAATAGCTTAGCAACTGCATGCTGTGTAAGTGCATTCAAATAAGAGCAGAAATAGAAAAATGTAAATGCTACACCTCTTTTAACATGCATTGCACAGCCAAGAACATCTGCCAGCTGACCCCATAATCCAATCGGCTGTTCAGAAGCAATCATATCCTTAGATAAGACCTGCACAGCCTCTACACGCAATGCCCATTTTCTTGAAAAGATGGAGCAAAATGTAGTTAGCCAACTCTTCAACAATTTTCAAACATTTGGAGGTATAAGACGAAAGTAATTCAACATGTTACCTGGACCTGCATTAAAATACTGACATCTCTTCCTCCAAATACTGTAATTCATCTTTTAATTTCACAGGATGATAACACAGAGGAAGCTTAAGGCTGAAGTGACTACATCAACAAACTGTTTGTCACTTCTACTAGAAAATAACGAAACCTGGAATGGAAATCCGGAAGGGCTCAACCTAGTCCATTGACCATAATAAGAAGTACAACTATAGAAAAGTGGAATTAATTCTAACTCTGAGTTTACTCCTCGTATCTACTGCAAAAAGACTGGACTCCTTGAGAGGCTCTACAGGCGGGGGGGATGAAGACATGCAAAAGCATGCCTTCAAGACACTCCAAAAGAGCCAAAACCTCTGTGGAATAAAGAGTATATAACCCACGGAATATCGTGCAGTAATAGAATGCATCATTATCTTGGTGTAAAATTAAACTTGTCCTAAATAAACAAGCAAGCTGCACTGCACTGATTGAACTGACTCTAGGAGCACGGTCTTTTGTGAAACAGTTTATGTGACTCAAATAATTACTTATATTCATCAAATAAATTGTTGTGATCACGCAAATTGCCTCCCTCTCCAAAGCAGTAGCTCTGCTAAAGTATCCGTATTGTCAGGGCCCCAGACATGGTGGGAAACGGTAAGAGAGTATTGCTGGAAGAGTGTTTCAAGTAACGCTCTCCATAGTTAATTTTATGTCAAATATCTGAAAGGCATTGAAAAAAAAGACATACAGAGGTCTGCCAAGAAGCCTAGAAAACACCCTTCATAAGAAGAGGGTGAAAAGATTATTGGGCTTAAGGAGAAAAAGACGCAAACTCACTGAGGCCTTTAATTATGAGACACTGGAAACTGGAGGGTTCTCCAAAGTAACTGATTGAGCAATACAAGACTCGAGCTCAGAAGCAATAATTAAAAAAAAATTACTAAAAAACCTGTAGAAAATAATAAGGGAAATCTACTGGCACCTAGAGGAGTTTATTATTGGTTCTAATTTATCTACCGTCTTTATCAACTGCATAAAACACAGTATCATAGAATCATAGAATCATTAAGGTTGGAAAAGACCTCTAAGATCATCTAGTCCAACCATCAATATAGCACAATAGCCAGTAAAAGATAAACGATACCTCAGCACCAAGGTGATTTAGCTTTCTCGTGTCTGATACCAAACAAAAGCAAGTATTTTACTGCAGGTATTTAATGCAGATTATATAAAAATAATTTGGATGTCACATATTTACATATAAAGAATCTACAGAGCTTTGCTCCAGGATTTAAACACTGCCCAGACCAGAGGAAACAGAAGACAATCTGCCTTGCAGTGGATTAATGATACGTCTCCAGCCTAGCTAAACAGCAGTGCCATCGGCTAATTTAGTTTACCATCTGGGTAGGCAACTTGTGCACGCTGCAACGTGCCTAAGGACCTCAGTGCGTCTAAATCTGCGCTGGAATTCAAAGTCCAGGGGGTGCAGAGCAGAACTCCTTCCAAGCCATGCAAAGGACTCAGAAGTGTTTGGGGAGGCAATGAATAGAATCACGCACACAGTATGTGTATATGTGTGCATATCTAAGTGTATATTAGTGTGCATATATAGATGTGTTTATCTAGTCTATATAAGTGTGCATCTATGGATACATATATATACACACACACACTTTCCTTATTAGCACAACAATTTCTTCTTACCCTAAAACCCCTGAAATATACAGGATCTGATCCAATCCTATAAATCTAAATTGGAATAAGGTAATCCAATGGTGCACTAAACCAGCCAGAAACAGCTTCTGCTTCTATCCTAAAAAAAATTTAAAAAAAACCATAAAAAAACCCACAAGCGAACAACTCCCTCCAAAACCAACCAACCAAATAAAACTGTCCCAAAACCAAAAAAATCACAAATCTAAAGAAACAGACCTTACTGTAAGTCCCAGGTGTCACTACTAGAGCCCACGATAAGAAGCCCGCTGATGAATTCACTAGGTCTTAAATCAAGGTGCGTGCTCCCGGCAGAGGGGCAAAAAGCGCCGACCACAGTTATGTTAATACCAGCCGTGGCACTCTGCAAGCACCACGCACCGATAAAAAGTACAAAGGCGTAATTTCTAAATTTAAACCGTTTCTTTCCTTTAATATCTTCTGAAAGGCTTTTGAAATTAGCAAATCTAATGTGTGTGGGAATAGGCAACACTTTATAGCAATAAGTTTACTTTTAATGGAAGTAGTCTGCTGTGTCTATGGGTAACAAACCCCAGTATCTTTTCATTACAAAGAGCTTATTGTTACCACACGACTTACTGTGGGATTTCATTTTGCCTCTTTGGTGATCTGTCTGATCTATTAAGAAAAGCACTGAGGTATGGACAACATATACTTTACTGCAGTTTTATATTTTTGTAGTCCCTGCTGCTGCTGTTAGGCTACTGCCTATGAATTTCAAATAGTAATAAGGAAAAAGAAAAAAAAAAAAGTATTTACCAAGTTTCTCACAGGAAAAAAAAATGAACTGTGAAGAAAATGAGGTAAGTTCAGAATGAGGTGTTCGAAGTGCTGCTGCATCCTGGGACTCAACTGCTGCAGCAACGGTTGCCCAGAAAAGCAACTGGATCCACCAGCTGCGGCGCCTACCAGCCACTACACAAATACATCTCTGCATGAATACTATTAAAGGCCTTCTACACATGGTATGCAACATTTTTTTAGATATACATATATTCATAACGTATATATGAAGCCCTTCAACCTGTTTCTGCCCTAATAAATTTCATAGTTGAATCAAAGGTAAAACTTAACAGTATTTCATCAGTGTTACTTGGTGTTGAGAATTAATCAGCAAATGTAGGAAATCACAATTAGTTTTGCAGAAATGCATACAGCATTAAATAGAAATCAAATAGATGCTGATCTTTTTCAAAGAGTAGCAATTTAGAGATTACTTTCCTCTGATGGAATACTTCAATATTGAATATACAGAGATTAATGTTCAAGGGAACTTGTGTTGAAGAGAAATGTTGCTAAAAATAGCAATATATATTTAACGAATGTTTTTGCAGCAACCATAGTCTCAGAGAGAATTAAAGACTTTTAAAAATATCCATTACATCTGAGCTCTGCGATGCTTCTGCACTGTCCAGGTGGGATTATTTGTCCAGGGCTTCCTGTGCTCTGGGAGATACATATTTCTTTGTGTAAGAAACACGGTGTTTCAGGTCAAATTCTGCTGTTACAGGAGCATCTCCCCCGTCAATCCTCAAGAAATTCAAGGATTGCCTACAAAATCTGATACAAGGTGTGGCCCTAGGGATAACTCCTATTTTTAATTTCTTCACAGTACCTTCTGATCACAATTAAACATACAGTAAGCACAGGAAGGCTTCTGCTGGCTATTTAACTCCACTCACCTGATTCTTGAGATCCAGCTTTGGGCAAGGACGACCTCCATTGTAAGGCTTCTCCTTAAGCCACTTGGATCGGACTTTCACCCCTGGTCCGCAAGAAGAGCTGCAAGGGGACCAACTGGACCAATCGCTTAATTTGCAATCAAACGGGCAAGGGACTGTGCAAGATTCTTCAATGTAACCTAAACCAAAAATTTAAGAAAGGTTTTAATCACTGCAGCTAAGGAACTCAGATCCTCTGATGTCTCACAGCCATCTGCATAATCAACACAAAATGAGAATTTCTTCAAGAGAAGACATTTCGCAGACTTACAACGCCTTCCCAACGCGACATTAGGATATTATTCGTAAAGAACAGCAGTGCCTAAAACTAATCTCTACTTGGTTTAATCCAGTGCAGGCCACAATAAAACTGACCGGTGTAAAGGACACACACTGGTAAAAGTATCTGTTGGGAAGCTGGTGGTCACCAATGCGTGTTGATGATCTTCCCTGTGAGACTGTGGCCATAAGAAATCTTGAGAACTAAGCGTACAGCCCAGTTTTGTACTCCTTTAGTAGAAAAGGAGTACAGAGCTGGCACAGGCGGGGAGTCAGAGGCTCTATTCCCCACTGACAGGACCAGAGGGTCTGGAGGCTCCAGAGCTATGCTCCGCGCAGCTCCCATAAGGTGCGTGAGGGACCTGCCTGCAGCCTGCCAGCTCGAGTGGCATGGGGTTTGATGAAACCTGCTTTCTGCTCCTTTCTAGTAGTTCTCTTCATACATCTTTCCAGCTGTTTTGCCTATTCTGGGTTTCACAAACAGCATTTTCAAGGTTTACTTTCACCTTAACCTGGCTTGACATAAAAGTCCTCCCACAATCATCACCTCTTAAAATCAGAATACCAGACACCTGCAGGACCAACCCCTTGCCGAATTAAAACCCAGCAGGGTTTCTCAGAGAAAAAAAAACAAGGTTCATCCATGCAGGCACAACCCCACAGCTGGTTTAGGAGCTGGCATGGGGGAAGAGAGATTTTGCAGAACCCCGCACCAGCTATGGAGCTCCCGGCGTGCAGAAAGCTCTGGAGGCTGGCTGAACCCTCGGGCTCTCCAGGGAATTACTGGCACCAGTCTCCAGTACAGAAGCTCCAGCACCTTCCTGCTAACCACGCTGCATTTGTTCTCCTTGAGTTTCTGTTACCTGCTTGTCATATCTGTAGGTACTGTTTTAATTTAAACAACACAGAAATTTCGTGTTAGACCATGAAAGTGAGCGGCTCTAAGCTCAGCTGTTATTGCAGGCGGCTTCACCCCTCTGACAGCTCTGGCAATGATAATCACAGAAATCACTGAATTCCATCCCTACTGTATTTCTAACGTTTCTCATTTATATGCCCTTTCTTTCTGTTTGGTTTTCATTGCACTAACGCTCCCTCTATGTTCCTTACCTACAGAATACCAAGTTAGCTCATCCAATTACTCTTTTACAAAGGGTCTGCCCACTCTATCAAAGTGACAGTCACTGCAGCAGACGGGGGGTGGGGAAAAACCCCCCACCAGAAGCAACTTCCCTCTAACATCTGCAGACAAAAGCCCCAGACAACCAGAAAACACCAAGACTGAGCAGGCAGATTATTCTGGCGCGGAGCTGGATTTACCGGCTCTGCCGTGTCCGAACCTGCTGCTGACTCCAAACCAGGACTGAGTTACATCCCGAGCACCGACCCACTGCAGCAACAGGCTGCCTGCCTCCCGGTCTTCACCCTGAAGTCAGTATCAGGAAAGGTTTCAGACCTCTTTAGCCATCCCCACCAGAAAATAATCTCCTGCTAGAAGTACAATACTGATGCTGTTTTTGTATACAGTGCCTTAAAAAATGCTAGAAACAACACTCGTTCCCTCCTTCAGTTCAAGGACGCTCTATTTCTTCTTTCCTTCACCTTCACACCCAGCCACTCTGGAGCCCAATGGCTGCAATCATTTCCCCAGTAACTCACGCGGTAACTCTTCCCTAGCGCTGCAGCACCGTCCCCATACGGCGGGCTCTGCTTTACTCTGCTGCTCTCGCCTTGTGCTGCATTGCTTTTTCATCCGCAGCTCCAAAGCCACTGGAGTTGGGTACCTTAATCATTTCCGACTCGATCCATTACAGTGGTGTTCGCATGGTTGAGGTATTTCAACTCTGCATGCTTTGTGTTCTTGTCTAGGTGAGATTACACCCATGCATACACATACAAATATTTCTAAAATACACTGGCTTTTTTTCCCCAAATAAAACTCCCAAATATCCCACTAATACGCTATTCCACCTGCTTAGGTTGCCACTCAAAGCAATTCATAATACATTATGATAAGTAAAAGAAATTTTCTCATGATAGATTTATGAGAAGGATTTCTTAGGCAGTTCTCCAAAGAGTTCTGTTCCACCACCGTATGAAATATCATTTTTCCTTGGGCTGTGTGACAGCCTAGGTAATTAACTCTCAACAGAAACAAAGAAAATGCCTTGTTTCAAAGTAGGATTAGACAGAGGGGTTATCAACTCATCAGTGAAGGCAAAATGGGCTAAGCCTTTTGGCAGTTCAAGACCTACCTCTATAACAAAAGGAAATATAAGACAAAAAAAGAAATATAATACTAAAAAGAAATATAAGAAAGAGGAAGGAAAAGCTATAATAAACAAAAGTAAAGAAACCTATTGTATTCCATCCCAGAGAAGTGCTGTGGGGATCTCTCAGCGAACCACAGAATTTCTAAAGACGTCCTGTTGCTAAGAGGCCAGCTTATTACTTTTTGAGTTTCCTCACCCATATTTCTAAACTACATTAAGTATAAACAAATAATGGCCAGCTAATGGAGCATTAAATTACCATACTGCCCAGAGGAAGCCAATTCTTCATATTGAACAATGCTACAGAATCAAAATGGGAACATAACTTTCTTTCAAGCTCTTCTCACAGGCTGCAATTATTTCTTCTATCAATCACTTGAGGTTAATCCTACGCCAAGATACTCATGGATCAAAGATTTCATTCAACAAATATTTTCTTCCAAAAAAATCTTTATGTGATGTATCCTCTCTGCCTGGATAGAGAATGCCTTTATGGCTAGCTTTTTATGAGAAACTAGTAAATAACATTGTGCTCAGCTCATCCATTGCCTATGAGTACGGAATATTTGTTTTTCTCTGTAGGAGCCAAGCAATGGCTTGCCATTGTCAAGGAGCTGAACAGACTTCGGTTTGGATACCCACAATAATCCCAGTATTGGCATTCCTAGAAAACTTGTAGCATTGGCATGGTGAATAATACAAAACAAAAGAAATAACAAGGGAGATCTGCTATCAAAGCAACCTATTAATAAAGAATTCCACATTCAGGCTATTATCCAGAGAAATACTTGCTACCGTAACAGAATATGAATAAAGGAAACAGCATAAACACATTTCTGAGTTACAGTCACCCAGCTTAGGGAGACTAACTCAAGGCTGAGTTTACACAGCTGGTTTTGTCAGCATCATCCTTAAACATCTCACTCATCCATCACATTGCCTGTTTTTCTGTCCTCTGCAGAACCTGGCACCAATAATTAGCTGAATTTCCAAGACCTTCTATGGAAAAACATGTCATCTTCTCCCCAGCCCTCCCTCCTCAGCCTGCTTTCCATGTATTCTTACGTTACTCCTTGAAGCTCCCTTTAACCTGTTTTCTATTCCTGAAAATCTCAAATACTGTAAAAATAAAGCTCATTTAATTTAGAAACAACAGAGGAGAGCCTCTGTCCTATCTGAACCAACGGCAGGCTACTGAACGACACAGAGCTGGGGCTGCACACACAGATGTCACAGGGGGTAGCAACCGAAACATCAGTGCATGGGATATTTAAATGGGCACTTTGCAACATACTACTGGGAATAGTCCCGAACCAGTGGGAAAAAATTGAGCTGGATATTCAAATAAGCCTTTTCCAAGTTTAAGTGCCATTGTTTTACTATTGAGACACTGTCAACATAATGACACGAACAAATGCATTTACCTAGGCGGCACAGCTCAGTTTACTATTATTTATTCATCAAGAACAATATGCTTTTTGCCCTACAAGCCACAAATGAGTCTCTTCCATAAAGTGCCTATAATAAACAAAGCACCCACAGTTCTATGGTTGGACTCAATGATCTTAAAGGTCTTTTCCAACCCAAACGATTCTGTGATTACACAGGATGTACTGGGAAGGCTCAAACACACGACGTAGCAACCATTACTCATCTCATTTCTTCTGCGCTGCCCAAGAGACAAAGCAACAGCAGGTAGATGAATAAAGTGAGGATGATCATCTGGTGGGTGTCAGGCGAACGCTCAAATACATGGTGTGAAAACTGCTATTGTCTCATTTTTGCTGTGCAACTCAAAAGAGCCAAGGTAATAGGAGGTGGCTGGACGGTGTTCTGATGGGTGTCAGCAGTGCAGAAGCACAAAGAGGCTGTGGATTGCACTGCAGTGTCAGGGGGGAGTCTGGCAGTAGCACAATTTCTTTCCCACCTACCCAAGACACCGCACATATCACTGCAGGCACGGCCAGCGAGGGGCTGCAGTGCCCTTCCCTGTCCCCCTCTACATTTGCAAACAGATCGTGGTGGGAGAAGCAGGCAATTAGTAGGTTTACAAGCTAACATAAGACACTGGCATCCACCTGATTGTTGCACTTCCAAACGATAAATTTGCTGCGGGTGTAAGGTCTGCACGCCGCGTTAAACAACAGTGCCAACAGGACTCCAAGAGGCTGACTTAAAAGCGATTCGAAAACAAACAACATTTCTCCAGCAGCTTTGGAAACAGATGCACTTCTAATTGAATTGGCTTTGAACTCACTTGTATCCTCTCTAACATATTTCATCATTTCAATTAACAAACTTCTAGCCGTTCTACCCTTGTTAGTAAACCTTGAGGTGCTTCATAAAACTCAAGGTCATTACCATGAGAGGGACAATTCCGTGCATCACCACTTCTGCCACTGGTAATGCCACTGGAAATTCTCCTTGGAGTCTGCACAATAAAAGAGATCACCTTTCCACTAACAAGGGAGCAGCACAGTGGACAGTGACACAAAAGAAATGTTTCTAATTACACAGGCCGAAGGTAGAGGAAAAAAAAAATGATTCATTTTGCAATTAATATTTACATTCATTTGGCTACTGACTGT